ATGAACCACGTTCTGGTTCTAATAAAAATAAAGATGAATTTTGTTGTGGTGCTACTGAAGATGATGATGAACCATGTTGTGGTTCTGCTAGAACTGATGATGATGAACCATGTTGTGGTTCTGCAAGAACTGATGATGATGAACCACATTCCGGTTCTACTACAAATAAAGATGAATCACGATCACGTTGTGGTTCTACTGAAGATGATGATCGACCATGTTCTGATATTGAAATTAAAACTCCATTTTTATTTTTGCTCCACAATTCATATAATTTTACTTGAGTTTTACTCATTCGAATCTAAAATAAAAAGAATAAAAATTTTCATCATTAATGCAATTAAAAAAGTTGAATTAACAACAATCTATATCGATATTATATTATATTATATTTATTCATGCATCCTCAAAATTAAAACAGAATAGAATAGACGAAAAAAAACACTCATGGAGAAAAGAAAAGGAAAATGGGGCCAATAATAAAATTGATGAAAAGAGATCGTGCGAAACATGTTATCATCCAGTAGTATTAGTATTATTTCAAATAAAAAAACACTTTTTTTTATAAAAAGAATCAAAGTGTTAATTTTATAGGCAAAATGTATTCTGTACACTCTACTTTTTTCAACAGCGTGTAAAACAGCGTGTACTTGAGATGTCGCAAGGGTTTCGTACATTTTGATTTTGCTTGGTACACTTGCTATTCCAATCCCTGAACGACACCCCCTTTGTGTAATGTATACAGAACAGGAAAAAAATTCTATTGGTGTTTACACATCACCACTATCGTAGATATATGAAATATGAAATATAGATGTCAGAGAAGAACAAGTGATATTTATTGAGAAAAAAAAATTAAATAACAGGATATATTGATTGAATTTGTAAAATTAAGTTTTTTAATGGCTTATCTCCAAAATGCTGTCTCCACATAAATTCTTCTAAATAAGTTAAAAGTAACGTGCGACGTATTCCACTTTGTTTCTTTTGCTTTCTTTTAACTCGCATCCAGGTATTTTCAATATTTTGGGTGTGTACGCCGGTTGTTGGGTTAACGAAGCTGACGGAGTGGTTAACAGGTAAATGAGTGTAATCGCTCTCATTTGCTAAAGGCAAGTATCCTCGCCACTCATCCGAATGTATCGTTGTACCTATCATATCCTGTGTCATAGTTAGTAGATGAATTTTTTTAATATTTAATTTATCAATATCTTCAATATTAATATTTATTGCATTTGCCATATTTTTACGATGATGTAGTGACGATTTTTCGTGAGGAAATTTTTAAAAAAAGAATCTTTTATATATGATTTTCTCCCTAAAGCCCTAATTGCTAGACGTCTTCTTACGAAATTCATCTGTTTTCTTTTAATTGAGAGGTCTTTTTCTTTTTTTGAAGTAGTTCAAACATTCTCTTAATTAATAGATTCAATCGCCTTTCATGTATGCCAACTGTTATTATTATCAATATGACTATCAGTTGTGCTTGTATGACATCTATATTTCATATTTCATACAGTGGCTACCAAAATTATCCGACAAGTAGAAGAACAATTTTTGCATTGCTTCTAATTTGAAAATTAGATAAGTTGAAATAAACTGAATTTTATCTTATGATGCCCCATGGCTAGTAGTGTTGGTACAAAAAATCTGAGATCGATCTAGCAATCTATAGAGAATTCATAGAGGATATACTGAAAGTATGTCGTTTTTTCATCTTCCAAAATTATCCGACAAGCTGTATTTTTGGCTCGTGGCACGCTGATTTCAATATGAAAATTTTATCATAATACACCATTGAAAAGAGCAAGTTGTACCGTAATAAATAACTAGTTTGTACCAGGTCTATCCTGTAGTGCTATGAAAAATATAGTTGCTCCAGAGTTTATGATAGAATTTCCAGATGACATGATCATAAAGTCTGACTTTTTCCTTGCAAATTTTTACCTATTGAAATTTGGAATACATCACGAGCAAGCGCATGTAAAACTCTATTAAATACTGTATTAAAGTCAATATTTCATGCTGAAACTTTGATTGGAGACGTCGATTACCTACCCCGAGGAAGTAGTCACTTCCCCATAATCTTCCATTTTCGTACTGAAGATGGTAGTAAAAGTTCTTTAGAATAGCATAGTCTTGTAGAGAATC